CCTGCATTCCCCTTTAAGGTAATATTCGTAGGCTTATAAAAAAGTACTTATATAACTACTTATGTTCTTCGTGTCCGCTCGAAATATTATTTCACTTTCATTCTATTAGATCTCTGATTAAGCATCCAATCTGTTCTTCTTAGAGATCTCGTTATCTATTCATTTATCAATATGATGTTGATCAACCTATCGTCGCTGCAGCCGTGCTAGCAGCTTCTGCAGTATCAGCAGCACCTTCCGCGCTTACTGCTAGACAGCCAAGAATGCTCCAGATTTCGATCTCTTTTGAAGACGGCCCTCACAGGTTCTATAGGCAATATGTGTCTCTCCGTATTTCTGACAGATAAAATAAGACGCGGAATTTCTTACATGAGACGTCCATTTGCCAAAATGCACATTTCTGTTTCCGTTGAGAAAGTGCATGTCGAGAGACAACAAAGGGCCGTCTGGTTCAAAGCCCGTTTGTACAAAATGGCTTAGAAATTAGGGTTGTATAGTCCCTAGTTTATAAGGTACTGTTAATGCTAGAGAGCATTTTCCGTATGGATCGAAAGCTGGATTTACAGTGTATAGCATGATGTGGATGGTCTTGCGACGTAGAGAGTTGTCAAATGCTTAGCTAATTAACAAGTTGTTGACATTTTCGCGACTTCGATGCGTCATGATATTCTAACATTTGACGTACGTGAATTCTGGGTAAAAGCAGATGACGAAGTTCTAGACCACTGCAAGACTACCTTAAAGGCAGGTAGGGGGTCATTTAAACCGTCAGCTGACAATCCGATAACAGTCTCTTCAAGAGACGATTCCAAGAGGTTGGCATAGTTAGTGGATCACCTTAGGCCGATATTTAAAATTGAGTAGAATCTGAAAACAAACGATTTAAATTATTTAAATCGTAGCTAAAATAAAACTATTTCAATCGATTGAATCGTTTTTTATAAGAGCTCGTCTTTTCGTGAAAAGATTATTACTAAAATAAGACGGTTTTAATCGATTAAATAATCGTTTATAAAAGTCGGTCTTTTTATAAAAAGACCGTTTTAAGACCGTCTTGTGGCCGTCCCAAGGCCGTCCCAAGGCCGTCCCCGAACTTGAAACCGTCCCGGAAAACGTTGATTAATAAGCAAATAATTTTTTTTTTTTTCAATTACTTAGCAGTCTACCCTCTGCTAAGTATACCACCCCCTCGTCACCACCCCCCCCCTCAAGTGCTCCAAGGGCGCATCTACGCGGGTGAAC